AACCAGAGGTCAACACAGACCTGCACCAGTCGGCTATGGTGCCCGCTCGCCACACTTGGGGTCATAGGGGCTTACCGAGACTTCGAAACACGGGTATACCGACATCCCACGTGGAATTATGCCCCAACTCACTCCCCGTTTTGAGCGCGATACAAGCTAGTGGAAGTTAATGATCCTTCCTTGATTGGGAATCAAATGAAGTGTCGCTCCATCATCCAGTTGGTAGGGTCAGTTTTGCTATCGACCACGAACGGTTTTTAGTGAAAGTTGACGTCGCTGTTCACGTTTGTCGATCATAATGCTTTCATTCTTAGTTGAGCAGTGAATTCAAAACTATCTATTCATTCCACGGCCGTTTACTAGCCAAGCCATGCTCTGCCAGAGGTCAGACTCCAAGTGTGACCTTTTGTAAAACCTTTTGTATCCATCGAATCAACATCTTTTTTTGAAGCAGATTTTATACTGGATTTTCTCTTTCTTGCGAATGTTCCTCGCTTGAGTTTATACGCTTTTAAGGAATCGCAGTTGTCCTTGGCTGTGTACCACGGCAATAAGGAGATCGTGAAAATACTGAAGGACTCGGGGCTTGTCAGACCTCATCACTACCCTCAGGCTTTTCGTGAAGCCGCCAACGCTGGTACTTAAAACATTTCCTAGCATACTAGAATGATCGAGACCAATTTAATCGTTTCTAAGGTGACATCGAAATGTTGATGATATTGTGGGACATGTGTGGCAAGGATGAGACCTGTCTACTGGAGCAGGATCAGAAACCTGGAAGGCGGATGTGCAGTCCGCTACATTTGGCAGCCGCAGCTGGCCATTTGAGATGCGTATGTTTTGTTTCAATCTGTTTTCAAAGATACATTCCACGATACATTTTGATGTGATCATTCCTTGCGCAGTTAGGAGAGGTTATCCTCAAGAGTAAAATGTTTCCAACCCCTAGAAAGCCCTCTTCGAGAGCGATAGGACCTTGCCGCGCGCTTTCGCATTGCTGAAACATTACATTCTACTCTAGTTCGGCAGCTACGGCCGATTCTTTACTCGCGATGCAACTGTCTACGCAGCGCCTTAGCTGCGTCTCGGTTGTCCGCAATATTCTGTCGCGCCCCGCGCACACATCTCTCGATCGTGTCGTTGTCTCTGTTGCCTCGTCATCACCCAAGCGAGAAGAAGGTTCTGTTGTGTGGTTGAGGACACTTCTCCTTTTCAAGTGACGCATCTACTTAGCTAAAAAATTTCATTTTTGAGCGCTGGATCCATATTAGTGATCGTGGAATGTGCTTGTATAAAAGTTTTGCACGGTGGACGAGACTGTATATGTTCAGGTTGAATTTCTGTGCCAAAGTCCGCTGCTACGTACAACTCCGGATGCCGTAGGGGATCTACCCATAATTCATGCGCTCGAGAATGGGCATATGGTAAGGCTTCCAGATTTTATGTATGGTTCAGTCGAAGAAGATGAAATTTTTCATAAAAATTCTCAAATTTTCCAGTAGTTTAATTTCCATAGCCACGCAAGTGTGCATGGCTCACCCTTTTTGACAATTCGTGGCCCCAGGAGTTTGATCAGGTTGCTCGGTTTCAACACGCTCAATGTCGCTTTCCGAAATTTGGCACAAGAATGCGGGTCGCGATGCATTAGGTCGCTCAGGGCGGGTGTCGAACCCTACGCACCTCTCGCTTACCGGGCAAGGGCGCTACAAGTTGCGCACACGGGGCACCGCACTTATACCCTCACTCAGCTTTTCGTGGTATCTCAAGTGGAATCAACAAATCTGTCAGGAATCCTGTGCGCCAGGATATGCTTTATTACAAAGAGAGGCCTAAAAGAGGCCTGACACAAGCAACGGTGATTGATTCGTGAAGAAAGATGGTTCACTCGATTCTGGGTTATGAGATGGGGACCATGTACCGGAGCGATTACAATTACGTCGGCTCTGTCAACCAAAGGGCAGTAGCCACATAGGTACAGTGAAAGTCATAGGGCAGAGGTAATCGAATTAGAAACAGCATGTCATTGGTCCACTCAATAATGTCTGTTGGTCGTTTCTTTAGGAGTCAGCATTACGTCTTGAACCAGTAAAGCTAAATTTATCCTGTGCAGTGCAAAGGTGAAGGCGTACGAGCTAATCTAACACCTAACAGTGTTTTTTTCAGGCAGTTGTCGATTACTTGGTGGAGAAATTCCCTTCAGAAGTGCCGCCCACCTTGATAAAATCAGCGATCAACTGTAAACGCAAGTACGTCCAAGGGTCTCCTCTTTGGATAGATTCTACTTCTATGTATGTGTTGAACTCTTTTAGTAAATTAGCTGAACGTCTCTGTCAGTGCATGGTGGACCGTAAGGAGGTCATCGCAGAATGCAGGCCTCTCACTTTCGCCGTGGAGTTCGGCAATTTTCACATGGCCGAATACATTTTGAAGCAGTATTACGCAAAAAATAAGGTAACTTTTGATTATACTCGATGATACTGGTGTGTAGCTTTTCCTCATGCTGTTTTGCGCGAAGTCTGACACCTGTCTTACCGTTGTGACCACACGACCTGATAAGCATCCTTCGAAAAGTAGGCGGAAAATACAAATATATTTATTGAAGGTTAACCAACAAAAAACACAGGTCACCAACTCCGCATATTGCTTGAAGTGTGCACTGACAAGGAAGCGAACTCTTTCGTCCACCCGCCATGTTAGTGCTAAACGGTGACTTTTTCCAAGGCATGCAGTTTGGAACTGAGCCTTTCTACGTTCATGGGCCTCTATCTTGGAACGATTTTTGACGACCTTTCGCAGAAAAATTGCGCTTGAGTCCTATTTCAGAGGACAAACATTGGATCGAATGTGTGATGTGCTCAGCGCAGCTTCGACCCTAGTATATCTTCAGAGTTACACTATAAAACCACAAACTTCTCTTTCACGCCGTACCAGGGACGATTGCACTGTATAACAGATCCGTTTGGTTTGAAAGTTGGCAGTTATCAGGCTAGAGATCTATAGTATCACGATAATTTAGCACTATCCGAGAAGTCATGTCGAGGCCATATTCAGAACTCGTACATTAGATAGTTAAATGACATAATAATTTACGTATTCCCTTTCACTTCTTGGCTCGGTACGGATCACCTCACTTCACCTCACCTAGGACCCAATCGACCCCTTCCCCATCGCCCTACCACCGCTGGGCCACCATTTCGATTCTGTTTCTATGGTAACTTGATCTGAGACCAAGTCACATCAGCCCCAACTCCGCCAACCTTCTTCTTTTGCTCCGAAGCAGCGTTCGTCGGAGAAGACAAAGTGCTTGAAGAACAAAATCCTCTAATCCCTCCTTTTTACTGCTTTTAAAAGTTTTCCTTAAGCCTGACCCTCCTTTTCCCACCTTTTTCCTGCACCTACCCAAAATTTGACCCTTACTCCTCCAGGGGATCTTATATACGACCACACATCGTTGAGAACTGATTGGCCGTGGCTTTTTACTATGATTGGCACCCATCTTGGATCATCAAAGCTCACATTTCATTCGGTTTCCATACTTTCCGCAACAATCTTCCATCGTTAAGCTTGCCTGTAAGGGTTCTGATGAATTCTTTTTTTGCAGATATCTGAAGAGCCATGGTGCAATGACGTCTCAGATGCGCTGCGAGCCCTTCTTTGTAGCAATGCTCTGCCTGCCGATAAAAAGGCAAGATTTGTGATGGCGTTTCAAGTGGCTGGTTTCAAGGTTGGCATTTATGGTTTCTTCCTGATGTTACACAACTGGAATTGGTATAGCAATTGCTGTGGAGAGTCGCTGTAGTGCTAAGCCTCGCTCCCACTGCGCGCATGGTTCAGGATCAAATTCCATGTTAGGTTTCGCTCATAACAGATATTCCTTTTTTCCTATCAGGGTTGTAACCTGGGAGCGTGAAAACCGTGACTTATAAGTCGGTTGTTTCTCACAAGTCGTTGCCTAGATATTATAAAATACGAATGCCCTACCATTTCCAATGGAACTAGAATGCATGGCGCATCCCAAGTTGTGATTAATCTACGTTTCGGTGTTTTATGCTTAATGCATTTCTCTATTTAACTCGTCACGTAATGAATCGTAGGAGACTGAAGGCTTAAATAATTTAATCCTTGTAGCATGGTGCAAGAGACTGATTTAGCGCTGTAGTTACAGGTACGGGATCATCGTGTATTGTACTTTGCCCTAGTTATGCAGGCCTTCATTTTTTTATCAGAGCGCTTCATCAAGATCCGGTTCGCCTGAGAGGACGAAACTTGGGGAATGATTAGGCATTCGGCGTTGGCTATTCGTTTTGGGATACGCCACGCATTCCATTTGAAATCGTAGTGACGTTTGAATGCGATTCGACTTAGGACCAGCTAAAGTACAATTCAACCACTACGGCCCTACTCACTAGTGTGGTACCTTGATCGACGTCGGGGGTGGGGGAGTGAGGGAGGAGGGTTGGAAGGCTTGTCCACATGGGCGAAATCAGACCAGTGACTTGACCCTCTAATCTTGCGTATTGTAAGCAGCGCTTCTCACTACACGACCTCCACCAAAGGATAGAAATTTCTCATAGAAAATATACATAGTGCGTAGAATTTAGCTGACTCTGTACGTCACAGTGTAGAGATGGTACAATCCAAATGCCTCAACGATTCTAAGTGAGAAGAGATTTTATACGAAGTTCCCATTTTTAGGTTTCTATGGTAAATGTGGTTAGAATGGTTAGCGACAAGTCATTGGCGGCCTCAATTTGCAACTCTCTTCGGCATCCTGCCAACCAACCCTCGGCAAAAATCGTCTCTGAGAACTCACTGGGAGTCAGGAGGCCAAACTATTGGATGATGTCTTTCGCGCTTCTCATGAACTTTGCATTTGATTTATTCACAGATTAGGTACGGTATTTTCATGATGCTTGTAAGGTGATCCACATAGTCTTTCCTTAAATTTTTCTTGTATATACTTTCGATTTGTATGAGACCTTTTCCAAGTTGGGAGTGAAATGTCAGATGTACGCAGACATATCATCGTGCATATAGTTAAAACTAGGAAAGCATGGAAAGTAACTAGGAAAGTATGCTCTCCACTCGGTCGTTATATGGAGGAGTGGTCTAATGTGTGGCGACCTGTCTCTTTTTACAGAAAAGCAAGGTTCTTCTAGGTCGGTAAACATTCTGAAGTTACAGCGGTATACCGCATCCGTGGCACAGGAAAAGTAGGAAAAAAGGATAAAGCATTTGCCGTTGATCAATCCCTTTTTGGGATGCGGCACGCATTCTACTTCCATTTGTACATTCGTAGTGGCGTTTGAATGCTTTTTGAGAAAGCTTCCGAACGGACAGGGTTCCCCTCCGGGTCGACATTTCTGGAATGAGCTTGAATATTGAGAGTCATTGAATATATGAAATATGGTTTGTTCATAGTTTCAATCTGAAGATATTTAATTTCTAGTGCTAGTAGAATAAAGGATAAAAGGATAAAGCATTTGCCGTTGATCAATCCCTTTTTGGGATGCGGCACGCATTCTACTTCCATTTGTACATTCGTAGTGGCGTTTGAATGCGATGTGGCCTATACAATGACTTGCGGGGGCCAGCCGATGTACAAGTCAGTGTTTTTATCCTCCCAGACAAGTCTGGTACCAATTAACCGACCCCGGAGGGATGGAAGGCTTGGTTGGCCCGGGCGACTCACGACCCAGGATTTGATCCCCGGACCGCTCGCGTGGTAAGCGTGCCACTTGCCACTACACCACTTCCGCCCCAACAGGAATAAGTTTTGAAAATGTAACGAATTTTAATTTCTATAATATGTGTGACGATAGGCTTTGTGATGACC